ATTCTGCAGAGTGGGAGAATAGAGATGGAATGAAGCAGAATGATGAAATTCACTGATTAGTTCATTGGTTTCAACCCTTTGGCCTATTAGTTTTTTATGTATGCAATCCAAACTGCAGGCACCAGGATAATAAAAGCAAACATGTTTTGCCGGCAGATTTCGGCATTTTAAGTTAATTTAGGCTTTAATAAACTGTTTCAGAGGAGTGATCATAGCGCTCTGCATCAGCAGTGCTGCCTGTCTCCCTTCCAGCTCCCAGATCAGCGAAACGCTGCTTCAGCTGCTCAGACACCGCTGTTCCTGCTGCTCTAGACGCGCTGCAGACAGCATGTGGTTTCGAGGGGTGGTCTGAAGGGAGAGGCATGGTTGTGTATGTTCAAAAATATAGCTTGCTGGAACCGTTTTTCCAAGATCTCCTACAGAACCTTTAAGGACTCAAGATTCCCTGTTTTCTACAGAGTGACTGAAACAACTCTTTTGTTTCAGAGGAGATGTGTGGATTGGAGGTTCTTCCATTACTGTGGAGCTATAGAAGCAAAGAACATGTTTTGTAAATGAAAATTTTTGAAAATGCAATCCGGACATTTACAGTAGCTTAAAAAACTTCTTAATTAAAAAAAAGGTTTTAAGAGAAACTGTGTTGTTTGCTCTGATATCATTTCTTCAACTTTTTATTCAATTTAAAAAAAATCTTTTTAACAGATTGAATATTTTCAAATATTGTTTTCTCTTTCTTTCTTTTTTTAATTAGTTTTACAAATTGCATTATTTTCAAATTCATTCCCAATACAAGCGCTCTCTCTTGACCGATAAAGTCAGATGTAAGAGTTTGTATGTTGAACGAAAAAGGGACGTTTTCCCAATACAAATATGTTGTATACTCAGAGACCTATAAGATGTGCAATGCTGTGTACAACCTGTATGTCTTTATAATATGATTTTGCAACGAATGAATTGACTTGTCCCTGGCAACATGGCTGACGTCATGCATCTTTGTTGGACCCCAAGTTCAACCTGTTTGTTCTCGTTTGCAGAAAATCGGCTGTGATGGCATCATTGGCTCCTCAGCAAAGGAAGATGCTTGTGGTGTTTGCAATGGAAATGGAGACTCTTGTAAAATTGTGAAAGGAGACTTCAACTACACCAAGGGAATGGGTAGGAATGTCTTTTTTATTTATTTATCTTTCCTTAGACAACAGTTAATCAGTCCTGCCCGAAAACTGCTGAGTTCATGCAGCAGTGATAAAATATTATATATTTTTAAGGAAAGACATAGAAACGTTCTAGTATTTGACAAATATGTGCTAACTGCCAAGAACAATATATCCAACATTTTTAAAGGAAAAGTCCGGTCAGTAAGGAATAATATATTATTATTATTTAAACCTAAAACTAATACGTTGGTGGTGATTTAATGAATTTACCGTTTACCAGTAAAGAAATAAAAACAATATTTTTTGTTGCGATCACTGAGTCCGGGAGCGGCCATTTTTGCCCAAATATAGTAACATCTCACTCCTGAAACCTCCCGGCAGTGACGTCACGGTGCGGTAAGCCTAGCGCCATTCTCCCTGCTTTGCAAGCAAAATCAATGGGAACTACTAGACACATCTGCAATCAACAACAATTATTAAAGATTTCCAGAAGACTTCACCATTGAAATTCACCAGAGCTATAGTGAAACTGACAATGCCCACGTGCATGGCAGCTGGATGTTGGAATACATCGGGTAAAAGTGAAAAAAAAAAAAAAGTTATTCCACCTTTCTGATTCCTGATCCTCCACGGACGAGTTGGTTGTTGGATTGCCAACTTGAAGAGGGAGGATTTGCCATCAAACTTCTAGAGAAAAAACACGTAATATGCAGCCAACATTTGAAAGAAGAATGTTTTCAAGATGACTTGGATAATAGCGCGTTGTGAAAAAACACCAGATACAGCACTGGGACTTGATCAACAGCCGATACCGCACCGTGACGTCACAAACCAGTAGGTGGCAGTAGTGCAGTAGTAAATGAAGGTAGTAATTCTGAACTGTTCACAATAAGAATATATTTTCATTCTTGTTTTTTTTTTTTTTTTATGGCTTAATGCTGACAGCTGGTTGCTTAGTGGCGCAGTGGGTAACACTGCTACCTTGCAGCAGAAGGGGTTCTGGGTTCAATTCCTGGTCTTTCTGCATGGAGTTTGCATGTTCTCCTTGAGCAGGCATGGGTTCTCTCTGGGTACTCTGGCTTCCTTAAACAGTCCAAAATCATGACTCTTAAGCTTCTCCAAATTCCTAAGTTGTGAGTGTGTGTGTAAATTGTTGTTTGTCTTAATTGTCTCTGTGTTCCCCTGCGATGGACTGGAGACCTGTCCAGGGTGGACCCCACCTCTCGCATGTACACAGCTGGAGATAGGCACTAGGACCCCTTGTGACCCTGCTTGGGATAAGCGTGACGGAAAATAGATGGATGGATGCTGACAGCTCTGCAGGAATAGAGATCACAGCTTTGATGCAGTAACTGTCACCCAGATTTCAAAGCTGAAATCTTGCCCTTGTCCCTATGAGTGCCTCAAGACTGGTTAAAACTTTCTGTAAGACCTCTTGATGCCCCTGGGAGCACGTCCAAACGCATTGGTCTGAACAAACTCTTAGAGATGGGATGAAAAGCTCAGCTATCAAGAGAGGCTCAGAGTAGAAATGCTTCTCCTTTACATTACAGAGTCTGCAGAGGCGGCTCAGACTTCTTCTTTAATTTTAGCAAGAATTGCATTTATAGTTTGCAAATATTTCAAGTTTAAAATTTTAATTTATTTGATATTTATGTGTTTAAAATAACATTAAACACTAAACAAGTTTAAAGACAAAATATGTAGATTATATTTGCCGTTGTGCAGAATACCAGGAAATGCGGTTTGGTAGTAAAAGAATGTGTAGATATCCTTTTTAGGACTATTTGAAGTTTCTGACCTGCTGCCTTTCTTTTGTATTGGTTTCCAGAACTCAGAAATGATAACACAGTCAGTGTTGACATCACTGAGCCGTTCCCCTCCACCGGTCTCTGTTCCTGACTGTTTTCTCTTCTTCTTCTTCTATCAGGCTACATTGAGGCTGTGGTGATTCCTGCAGGAGCATGGAGAATCAAAGTCATGGAGGACAAACCTTTGCAAAGCTTTCTGGGTAATGTCTATAACAGGGTATAATTAAGCTCTTGAAAAGTGTTTGTTCAAATAATATGTTACAGGAGGTAGATCAATTTTAATTAAGATTCATTTTATAGTATCAATTTAAAACAAATATTGTCTCAAGACTCTTTACAGACACAATTCAATCAGTAATGTAGTCTAATAGATGAAAAGTCTGTATCTGAGGCAAACCAGCTGATTGCATCCAGGCATTTCCTCCTGGATGAGCAGGTAGAGACAGTAGATATTTACATGCATTCCATCTTTGACTCTATGGTAGTTCGTCATTCATCCAGCAGCAGCGGAAGTAGAGAAAAAAATTCTCCTAACAGGAAGAAACCTCCAGCTGAACCAGAACCAGGCTCAGTGTGAGCGGCCATCTGCTGAGGTCGACCTGGGTTCAAGGAGACAGAGGCAGAGATACAAAAGCAACATAGAAGCAATTATCTATAAACACTTTCTATGTTAGAAAAGCTAACAGTAAACTAGCTCCACAGGTGTCTCTGTCTGGGAAACAAAACGGTTAATCAGACGAGCTCAGTCCAAGTTTGTATCTCCCAAGATGAAATAGAAAACATCCAGTTAGTCACAGCAAAGCGGAGCCGATAGCTATGGCTAGTAGAGAAACAAGACTGAATCAGTTGACTTCATCTATATCATCTGTAAAAAACTCTATCATCTGTAATCTAAGGTAGAGGTCTTCAACAGGAGGTTGGCGACCCCAAGGGAGTCCACAGAGGTACTGCACGGGGGTCGCGAAAGTTTTGGTTTATTAGACTTTTTTTGTATATATTCCCCCCTGGCATTTTATCCACTAATTGAAATGTCTTTAAATCCACATTAACATGAATTAAACACACTGTAGTAAACAGATAAATGGAGGCAGAAGATGTCTTTCAGTCATCAATGCACACATTCAGCGACACACAGGAGCTCTTTCAGGCTGGGCACTGTTTCATTCACAACACCTGTCCCATCAACCAGGAACCTGAATCAGAAATACTTTAATAATCCCAGGGAGGAATTACTTTCATTACATTACTCCATCTGTAATGGAGGGACTATAGGACCAGTTTGATAGAACACAATTTTATATAATATATATATAATTAGGGGGTCCCTGCGCCATCTCGCCATCGGTTTGGGGGTCCTTGGCCTGGAAAACGTTGAAGACCCCTGATCTAAGTTGTTGATGGCAGCAGCACAGAAATCATTCCCATTCTTTGTTTCCCAACTGACCGTTTCTCAATTCACAAGAACACAAGTACAGACTCGTGCTCTCACCATTTATGTTCTTGAGAAGAACAGAGGAAAGTGTGGAGTTAGGGAGAACAGGAGCACAATGACTCAATTTATTCTAAGTTGTTCTAAATTGTGTTTTATTTAGATTATTTACAAGGAAGCAAAAATGACCTACAGTTAATCTTTGAAATGTCTGAACTTTAACAGAGGGATGAACATCCTTTCTCATGTCTTAGAGATGAAATGAATGACAAATACTGATTTTATTATATATATATATATATATTGTTCCAGTGTTTTTATTGTCATCACAGTTTCACAAGTACAGAGCAACGAATTTAAGTCTCTGCATCTAACCCATCCCCTTGGGGAGCAGTGTGATGCTATTGTGTGGCGCCCGGGGAGCAGTGCAAGGGTTAAGGTTCTTTGCTCAGGGACCCAGAGTAGCTGTGGGGGGCCGTGGGAGTGGGGCTCGAACTCAGAACCTCAGGATTCCAAGCGCGATGCCCTAACCACTAGGCCACCACTTTCCCAAAGGGGAATAAATTATAAATAAATCTGACTGACCTAATCCAATCACTGATTTCCTTATAGCTCTGAAAGACTCCAGCAAGAGATCCATCAACAGTGATTGGAAGATTGAACTTCCAGGAGACTTTGAGCTGGCTGGGACCACGGTGCGTTATGTGAGAAGAGGACTGTGGGAGAAAATCTCTGCCAAAGGACCGACTAAAACTCCCTTACACCTGATGGTAAGCAGCCAGTGGGTCCTTCCACATGAATCAAAGATGTCCTCTGTCTGTATTTATCCAAACATTGGGGTGGGAAGCTAATGTGAAACATAGGGTTATTAAGGAAGCAAAAAGTTATTCATGAAGCACCTTTCAGTAACTGCTAAACAAAAAAAATCACAATAAGTTAAAACATAGAATATACTCACAGGCTATGGGAGAATTTACTGGATTCAGTAAGAAATGAATAACTTGGAGGCATGAAATGAAACTCTTTCCTTTTACCTGCAGTAACCTAAACAGGATGACTCAAATATAAATAATATTTGCAAGATCAGCTCCAGAGACTGTTATTGTCATGAAACGGACAGATGGACCCAGTATTCAAGGTGAGACAGTCAGTAGGAAAGTTCAGCCAATGAGCTGCCAACCAGACGCGGCGTGCGTCGCCCAGAGTGTCCCTGATGCTGAAGCTCCAGAGGACTTGCAGGAAGCCGATCCAGCAAAGGGAAGATGGAGCAGAAAGGAACAGTTCAGGAATCCAGGAAACCTCCGCTCGATCAGAGGTTCTAACCCAAACAGAGGGATCCAAAGCCTTGATCCAAAGGGATCCAGGCTTCCAGGAATCCTTAGAGCGTGAAGGAAGGTTCGGATTCATACGAGTCCAGAAGCGTACCCAGACGGACACACACAGACACAGACAGGCAGAATCCAGTAGGTGTCCAAGGATGGTTCAGGCGAGTGGGTGAGAGTAGCCTGACATAGTCCTACTCAATTCTAGTCAGAATATGAGTCTGACACTGCTCCATAGAGCTGTGATTATGGGGTGTGTTTCGAACAAGCCAGGAAAAAAAATGCCTCTGCACTCAATTGGATAGACCTACAACCAATAAGAGCAACGGAGTGCGTGACGTATGTTAAGCAACCAAGGGAGACAGCTGATAAATTAAACTTTTGCCGAATCCCGTATGAAGGACGCCAAAAACATCTTTCTTTTCAACAAATGCCGTGATCGCGTTTCTCTGTTCCTCTTTTAAAATTAATTTGCTGTCGATATCTTCTAGAACAGACC